GTCAACACACAATCATCTTCATTAAAAGTAGTAAGACAAAGTTATTTTTCCAGTGATGATGCCGCGCGCTCTCCTATTGCGGTCTTTGATCTTGAAGCTGATAATTAATAAAATGCAGCGCTTATCTTTTGATTTCGTTGACGTGAACTCCGTTAAATTTGAATATAGCATGGGAATTGAATATCGGATTTATATCCGTTTTGCGACGACACATTTATGTGGCCAAGTGTAAATGGAAACATTTGAACAAATCAGATAGATATCCGCATGAAATGAAATGACCAGGTGTAAACAGGCCCTATAGCAACACATTTGACCATAGCAACTGTATAGCAACACATTTTACAGGCCCCGCCCACGACTGTTCACGGACACTGCCGTGTTAGCAGAGACCACGCCCTGAGTGAGCCGCACACAATCCGCCATGTTTATCTCCACGCTAGAGCATTCAAAAGCAGCATTCAAATAAGAAATGTCTTCTTATTAAAGCTATAGACGTTATTCAGTCCAGAGTGAGTGATTTTCTGCTTTTATTTTATTGTTTGGGTCATATTATTAGCGTAGACAGCAGTATAGGTACAGCAGTATAGTGTATATTATATCACTTGATATATAAACATGTGATTTCTTTCCCAGCTGTTTAACCTTCACAGACATAACTGACTTTTTATGTGTGTTTTTAACATAAACTTGTGTGTATTCGACAGTTTAAGTGCAATAAGAGATGAAAGAGAACTTAGTTTAGTACTCACATGCTGTGTGACAGCCGCTTTCTGTGCGCTCAGAAAACCGTATATCAGAAGTTTAAACTGATTTGGCTTTAAAACTCATGTTTTCAGCGCGATAGACATGATAATAAAAACCAAACAGATGTGCAGATTATCTGAGACCAGCTGTGAAGGCACAGCCCTATTCCGGAAAAGGGGGCGGGGATCAGCAGCTCATTTGTATTTAAAGACACAGGCACGAAAACAGCTTGTTTCTGCTTCCACTCAAAATAGGCATTTTCAAAATGATATAATAAATGATCTGTGGGGTATTTTGAGCTGAAACTTCTCAGACACATTCTGGGAACACCTGAGACTTATATTACATCTTGTAAAAAGGGGCATAATAGGTGTCCTTTAAAAAATGCAAAAACCTAGTTATACCTCCTGTTGCTAAGTTAATTATGATTTCACTGCAAGTTCCAACTAATTTTTTTAATGTAATTCTGTTTCATACATACATACATACTGTAATCAAATTCCTGATTTAATAGACTACATCTGAGCGACTTCATATGCAGAAACATGAAGCTAAAGTCCGAATACATTTAAACACATGCGGGGAGAATTTCATGAATGCAATGTCAAAAGAAGAACTGCTTGAAAATAATGCAAGCGTCTTGTTTTCTGATGAAAGGCTTGATTGATTACAGAATGATGATTACGGCAAATGGCCTGGAAGACGGCAGTGTCTCTCTCAGCACAGAGCGCCTCTCCTCTCCTCTTTCCTCTCCTCTAATGGCACAGCTATTAGCGCTAATGCATTTCAAACATACTACTGACACATTGGATGGAAAGTGCACATCTTTTCCTCCTCGCTCCTCTCACTGCTGTCTTACGCACAACACCCTTCAAACACATCTAATCAAACAGGCCTGGGCTTCCTCGCAGCTCTTTACCTTCAGACTGACAGCTACAAGTACAGCGACATACGCTGATAACGCTAGCAGAAACAGATATGGACCAAACCATCCAAACACATTCAGTGATAATGAATAGAGCTGTAATTGTAGTGATGGGACGACTGAAGCAGCATTAATGGGTTGTGCCACATTGAAAATAGTTATTACTTTAGTGCTAAGCGCAGCAAAAACAAATGTAGCTATTATCATAATGGCATGTTGCAGAGCTTTATTAAAAAGTAGCTACAGTGTGCGATTGCAGCAGACCCACCTTTTATTTTTATGCACTTTCACTTTATGTCAACGCAAATGTGCATCAAATGGTACTGGTCAAATTCACAAACAAATGACTCAAATCTTTTAAAATGAATCGTTCCATCGTTACAGGTTTGAATTAGTTTGAAGAAGCATTCACTGAATAAATGTATGCAATTGTACTTATATACTTTAGATAGATAGATAGATAGTGTAATG